TTTCTTTTAAATAATCTTGACTGGCTTGAAGATGAATTAGGCGATTTTGAGGATGATTATTTGATTATTGATTGTCCGGGTAAGTGGATTTATTACAACACTTTTCACGATAAACAGTTGCGCAAATTAATTTAATCCGTTGACCAAAACCAGGCCAAATCGAGCTATACACTCATTTTCCAATAATGAAACGAATCTGTGAATGTTTCCAACGACTAAACTTTCGAATATGCGGCGTGTTCCTGCTCGAAAGTCAATTCGTGCAGGATAAGTCGAAATTTTTCGCCGGCGTGTTGAGTGCAATGTCGGCAATGATTAGTTTGGAGATTCCACATATCAACGTCATGTCGAAGATGGATCTGTTAGGAAAAGTTAAGCGACGGGAGTTGGAAAGGTGTGTGTTGATTGATGCGCGTGTGTGTTTTTCTGATTATTGTTGGTGGTCATGAATGTTGCTGTTCTTAGGTATTTTGATCCTGATCCGCTATTGCTCACCGAAGAGGTTAACGCGGAAACGAATCCAAAGTTTCATAAATTGAACAAAGCTATCGTGCAATTGGTCGGACTTTATTCATATAATCATAGCCTCGTCTGATTGCTTTGTTATTCAAGCATCAATAATATCGATTCTCGTTATTAGATAGACGATTACAACATGGTCAGTTTCCTACCGTTGAACATTAACGATGAAGAATCAGTAGAAGTCGTGTTATCTCACATCGATAACGCGACGCAATATGGCGAAGATCTAGAGCCTCGAGAACCTGAGGTAATGTGATTTATTATTATTTTTATCATCATCATCGCTTTTATATATTTAAGGGTGGAAAAATTAAGTTTTTCGTGTATATATGAAATTAAAGGACGACTTTGATTACGATTACGAAGAGCAGTAATAAGTGATCTCTATTGAACCCTTATTTTGTAAAACGGCAGCTTATCAGTGCCCTAGTGGTGGATTATCCTATTTTTGTTTAATGATTTTTTGACCAATTAGGCTGCCCCTATATAATTTATTGAATTATACTTTTATATCCAATAATATCAAGCTTGCTCCCCTGTATTCATGTCATGTATATATATAAAATATATATATGTATCTCTCTTTATACACGCACCATACACTGAAACCACGAAAATACTATGTCTGAATTATCTGACGTTCATAAAAAATAACATATTCTTCTATTCAAGTTTCTATAAATTCTCGATATAAATGTAAAAAAGATTGTGTAAGATTTCACGATCCAAAAATAGATTATGTAATGTATGAAAAGATGATAGGTGGATCGTAGAATATATAGACTGTATATATATATTATCGATTGTTTTGTCTGCCTACAGACAAAACAATAGAATATTTGAACTAGCAACCATACCAGCCAACTACGTCTTTATATTATTATATATATATATATATATATAAATATATATATACACATACATATAAAATAAAATAAAAAACAATTAATAGTAATGTGATTATTATGGGGTAATAAAATACTAAATGGTAACTGATAAACAGGGTGTATGTAATAATTACTGCTAGTGCTAATGTTAGTAAGATAAAAAAGTAAAATGTGAAAGGGAGAAGAAAATAGAAAGCACGTTCGAAGAAAAGATGAAAAACAAAACTCGAATATTGTCCGGATAAAGATGAGAGAATAAAGTAAAATAAAAAAACTAAGCTCAATATATATATATATATAATTTCCCTGTCTTTGGTGCTTATATAATTTATTTTATTTATATTTATTATTGATTGATCTGCTTCTACTATATGATATATTGTAATCGTTGAACCACCTATTCAATTAGTATTGATAGTATTAGCTGATATAGTAAAGAGGTGGTGTGGTGATGATGTTAATGGTGGTGGCTGCTGTGGTGATTGTTGTTGTTGCTACTACTGTTGTTGTTGATGTTGTTGTTGATGACTTGTATAATTCCCAAAATTAATAATAATAAAAATAATAATATAATGATGATGATATTGCGGAGATGATGAATAACAATTAATCAATTCTATTAAATGAACGACCTCCTTTATGCACTTCGTTCAATTTTGGATTATTCTTGGTTAGAATATCTTTACCCATTTTGGCAAAATCAAAGTCACAGTCATGCTTATCTGGAATTTTATGAATGTCGCAGTAAACATATTCTGAAAAGTTAAAATCGAATGATTAAATTAATGAAAATGATCTTATTACACATGGAATCATGATAATGATGATGATGATAAAAAAAAATAATCTACACATACCGCAACGACATTTATTAATAGTTTGCTTAGCAAGTGGAATTTTTGCTCGACACAAGAAACATCTTGCTTTATTCTTTTGTACTGGCCGTGTGGGAGGAGTTTCTCCGATTTTATTGACAGCCGGCGAAACAAGCGGATCATCAACCATCATCATCACAGAACTGGAGACGCTCGATGTTGGTGTCGATGACGTTGATGTCGACGATGTAGACTGAAGCGCGTTGTCGTTTTTTGGAGGAAAAGTTGAACCGGATGATGCTGACGACGATGATGCTGATGATGGAGGAGGTTCGTTATCAGTGACTTGAGTCGTTGACATCGTTGTCGATGGAGCAGCTGTCGCTGGCATAGAAGGCTCGATGGTTTTTTCAGCTGTGAAACAGATATCGAGTAGTATTGGAACGAGCGAATCAGTCAATCTAACTCTTTTATAAGGGGGTTAGAAAGAACCACCAGTAGCTATCCTTTTTTTTCTCTCGTAATTTGTAATTTCTATAGTAACGTACCATTACTTTGACCAACCTTTGGATTTGATTCTTTGAAGCATTTCGAGCACATGTGATTGTAAATAGGATTGCTGGATTAAAATGTTTAATAAAGGAATTAGTAAAATATTGCGACCATTAAAGCTAACTCCAAAAAAGGAATGCTTCAAGCATTTAACGGGTCATTTCTAACTTGCACCGCTAGATGTGACCACGATTTCGAAAGAATGCCGCCATTGATGTGAATACTAGGCACACAAGCTCACTATACATACCCATAAAAACCACAGTTGTTTACACAGAACTCTGGCATTTGGGCGGCGGTGTTATTATCTTCCATGATAGAATTGATTTCTTGTGGATGATGGGAATTATATTGGTTATTTTTGCACACCACTATATATGTATATATATATATATATATATATATATACTTTTCTAGAAAGATAATAATTGGTTATTATGTTTGAGGAAAATGAGGTGATTACTTTGTTGCCAAGAATGAAGCGAAAAACAATAAATGTATGTGTACGTCGAGAAAAACTAATATATCACAGCAAAAAATTTATTCACGTAATGGATGTTAACAAATTCAAAGAAATTAATTGGTGGATTTTTAGAATGTCGACGAAACACCTGAAGAGTAGGAAGAAGAGGAGGGAACAAGAGTAAGAGCAGTAGTAGCAGAGGTAGAGAGGAAAAGAACAAAGAAGGTTATTTGAAAAAGGGGGTAGTACACTAGAGTATTTTTATTTTGAGGCGCTGCGATCTGGTACGTAGTCGTTTCGCATACCCACTTGACTTACTAAGATAATAAATTTCTTGATGATCGCTGTAATAATAGCATTTGAAAATAATACAAGTGATAATAACAATATCAACAACAATAATAATAATAATAATAAATAATAAATAATAAATATAAGTAGTAGCGTATTAGTAACGGTAATGCCTAGTTGGAATTTTTCGAGCGATCTAGTCATACATATATTATTTCAGTTAATCAATCAACAGAATCCAAATCAATCATAAGAGAATGATTTTTTTTTTCAAACATCTATTATTTTGGATTACGTGTTCGCTTTCCTGCGTGCTGTAGATGAAGAGTTCGGGAAACCGTCCGAAAATTTTTTTATTTTGAAACGTTACACGTTTTATTTTATTCTATATAGCTCATAGCATATCGATATACTGAAACCATGCTTTGTCGTCTCTTTTCATGGCTTTTCATATTAACGGTCCTCGTGTCTTGCTCACGTGTGCTTGCTGACGAAGATAGTAAAGTTTTAGACTTGACACCGGAAACTTTCGACAATGAAGTTGGTCAAGATAAATATGCTTTCGTAGAGTTTTTTGCCCCGTGGTGTGGTCACTGTAAGAACCTTGCTCCCGTAAGCAAACAATAAATTCGTATTTTCATTGAGAGATATGCGTTTCGCATAGCATATATTAATGTAACGGTTTGAATAGATTTGGGAACAACTTGGCGAAGCATTTGCAAGTGCCAAAGATCGTGTCGTTATAGCTAAAGTAGACGCAGGTAGATAGATATCGATCAATGCCAATTATCATCTTTGATGAATGTTTGATTAATTAAAGAATATTGAATTCAATTTTTCGTTCAAAGATAATCACCGTGATTTGGGGAGTAAATTTGGCGTCAGTGGATATCCCACATTGAAATGGTTTGATAAAGGTTCCGATAAACCTGAAGATTATTCGGGTGGACGTGATTTTGATAGTTTAGCTGCGTATGTTGAGAAAAAAACTGGTAAATTTTTTTTAATATTTAAATTTTTTTGCTAGAAATGCGTGAACGTATCTTTGAATTAAATAACGTATTATAGGAATTCGTCCATCGATAAAGAAACCAGTCCCAGCGGTAACAATACTCACCTCTGAGACGTTTAACGAAATTGCTCTGGATCCGAAAAAGAATGCATTGGTATATTATTCTTATTGATTAGTATCATTTTAAGATTATTTAACTCAAAATTCAGATTTGTTGCCTTGAATTAGGTTGAATTCTATGCTCCCTGGTGTGGCCACTGGTGAGTTTTATTTAATTACTCAATGTTTATTTTAAAGGTTATTCTTTTAAATTAATTGCGCTCGTTACTTTTAGCAAAACTTTAGGTAAGAATTTTATCAAATAATAAGATAAGGATCCCTACTAACAATAAATTATTGTTAGCCCCAATCTACGAGAAAGTGGCGTCATATTATTCACAAGAACCCGAGGTGAGCAAAAATAAACCATATTATTATTATTATTATTATTGTAGAATTCCGGGATCAAAATTAACTTTCTCAAATCAAATTTTCCGCATCGAAAAATTAGTGCATCGTAGCAAACCTCGACGCTACAGAGCACAAAGACATTGCGGGGAAATACGATGTAAAAGGCTACCCAACCATCAAATATTTCGCCAAAGGAGAGGACAAGACCCCGATTGACTATGAAGGTGGACGTACAGAACAAGATTTTGTCACGTTTTTAAATAAGCATTGTGGGACTGATCGTGTTGTCGGGGGTGCACTGTCCGATAAAGTAATTCTCCATTCTTATTTTCTTGCGGTAATTTTGATCTATTATTAATTTCTCGTTGGAAATCAATAATAGGCTGGCAAAATTCCTGAGCTGGATGAATACGCACAAAAATTCATTATTGCGTCCAAAGAAAATATCGATACCGTTATTGAAGAAGCACGAAAAATTGCAAATAAATTGGATACTCGGTAAGCAGAATTCAATAACATTATCAAGTGTCGTCATTCTTCCGTATGATTTTAATTCGTCTAAACGAACATTCTTTTGTGTACTATTTAATAATCATAAATAAATTTATAGGTTTTCAAAATATTATATCAAGGTGATGGAAAAATTAAAGGAGAGACAAGATTACGTCACTAAAGAAATTGAACGCCTCGAAAAAATCGTAAAGTCGGGGACAATATCAAATAACAAAAAAGACGATTTCACTATTCGTAAAAATATTCTTGTTAGCTTCCAAATTAAAGAAACTGATTCTATTATTGATGATGCTGACACTAATACCACAGATAAGATCACAACCGACGATGCTAAACACGAGGAATTATAAATGATGATAGCGATAGGATTTTAAAAATAGAAATATAAATTTTTTAAAATTTTTTTGATATTTATGGTTATTTGAATAAATTTTTTTGTTTCGAAAATGCCGATCTCGCAGATAGTTTCCTTGGGAATAGCTTCTCGTCTATTTATCTGGTCATTAGCTACCATCTCTTCATACCTATCAGACGACTACGACTCTTCAGCCAGCACACTATTAACTGCAAAAGATAGTAATAACAGTATTTCTAATCAAGCGCTCCAAGTTTCCCTACGTTGGGACGCGTTTTACTTCTTGCATCTCGCCGAAGAAGGATACGTCTATGAACAAGAACATGCTTTCTTCCCGTTGTTTCCTATTCTTGTTAGAGGCATCGCAAACTTCAGTAAGGAAGAATCATAATAATTAGCTAACTAGGTGATATTTTGGAAGCTCTGCTACTGTTATATCTTTAGAAAAAGTAAAGCTGACAAAAGCTCTTATATGTATGCGTAGTAAAATTGTTTCCGTTGATTTCTACTATTATTGTCAATTATGAAAGAACGGCATTACTCGTCATTGGTGTATCATTGTCGAATTTTTTCTTTGTGGCTGCCGCAGTCGCTATTTACAAGTAAAATCATTCGTTTCGTGTTATTCCGCAAAAAAGTAACCGAGCATTAACGAAACTCTGCGTAATAAAACATATTTGCAGTCTTAGCATCGCCGTATTTCACGACAAAAAATTCGCCTTGATCACCGCTATTTTCTATATTCTTTCACCGTCATGTATTTTCATGTCTTCTTTATACACCGAGAGTTTATTCGCGTTTCTAAGCTTTTTGGGTATGCAATATGTGGTAGAGAAGCATTACTGGCGGGCGGCTTTTGTATGGGCGTTTGCATCTTTTACACGATCGAATGGGATCGTATATGTTGGATTCTTTGTTTTTGATTTAATATTGAAAAAGGATGATATTATCAGTAATCTAAATGGATCGATTAACATTGCAAAGGTAAAAGTAAAAACCAAATTTCTTACTTTATTACGTTTAATGAATCTCACAATATTAATTATGGTGCAGGTATTTTCCGCAAGAATATTGAAATCAAGTATTCTTTGCGTAATTTCCACAATTGGATTTGTGGTATTTGAGATTTACGGGTACATGAGTTACTGTCTCGAAAACAAAGCTACGACAACGATGATGACAAATCCCCATCGTCGTCCTTGGTGTAAATCACGAATTCCGTTACTATATACTTTCGTTCAAACTTATTATTGGTGAGTGTTTCATTGGACATGATGAATGAATTTTGGGTATACTTTTTACTTATTAAAATCTTTCTTTTAGGAATTGCGGATTTCTATCTTATTATCAAGTGAAACAGATTCCGAATTTCTTGTTTGCAACACCGATGATTCTTTTATCGTTTTTTGGGATATTTGTGTATGCTGAATATGACTGGAAAAGATTTATTTCTCTTGGATGGAGAAGAAATGAAGCATCTAATAAGACTGGTAAGTGGGGATTTTTTTTACATAATTCATATTACAACCAAAACACTTAATATATTAATATTAATGTCTTGATACAAACAAAGACATTCACAATAAGGGGACAAAAGAACAAGAAACCTCAACATATTTCTCCTCGATGCTCCTACCATTCATTTATCTATGGATGGTATTACTTGTCTATGCGCTCACATCAATGCACATTCAAGTGATCACGCGATTCTTTTCATCACAACCAACAGTGTATTGGTTCGCTAGTTACATGCTAATCGAGTCGAAAAGAAATGATGTGTCGCGGAAATGGGCAAAATTAATATTAAATTATTTTGTGATTTATGGATTGTGTGGTGTGATACTTTTTGCGAATTTTTTCCCACCCGCTTAGAGAAATAATAATCAAGAGTATTAAAAACATCATTGTTTTCATAATAACGAAGAACAGCAACAGAATTTAATTTATTGCTAATAAATCAAGTTTTTCGTCGTTTAAACGGCACATATCTATGCTCCTTTGTAGCATTTTTCTTCCTCCTCTTCTCGATTATTTTTTCAACGGATTTCGGATCAGTATTTTTGAACTTCTCGACGAGTTCCAATTCTTTTTCGGCAGCTTTACAATGATAACAATTATTAGTTGGTTGAAATTTTATTCTCGCGATGAATTTATTAAAAAGCACTTACATTTCTTCAAATAAAATGGTTTTTTCCCTTTACTAACAAGTTCTAATTCTTTCTTTTTTACTTCACGCCGAAGTTGCTTCTTCTGTCGAGCTATATGCTCGGTATTAATTCTCGATTGCTATTGGTAAAAACATTATTTTCATAAATCGCATGATAATACCATTATATTTGTTTATGAAACAGCCAGAAAAGTTACCATCTTTGTCAACAACTTTTGCAATTCATCTCGCGTATTAGGATCTTTAGCCCGTCTAATTTGTTCCTTTATAGTCTTGATTTCGTTCTTTTTATAGTCGTCCAGAAAATTGTATGATTTTTCAAAGAGATCCTCATTGAGTTTCCCGGAAAGATTATCAAATCGTGGATCTCGTCTTTTCTTTTTTTGGGGGAGAGGGACGAAATTCAATATCCTTTTTTAAGAAGCGATGACACGGTAAAAATGTGTAAAAATAATAAAATCAATATTTACCTCCGAAGGAATTTCTACCACTTGGCGAAATCTACTCACTGGCTTCTTTGAAGAGATCTCGATTGGTCTATTGAAAGTTATATTATTGCACAACTCACTCAAGTATGATAAGGACTCGAAAGTTTAATTTACCTGCTCTTATGCGTTCGTTTTTTCAATATCGAGTTATGGCTCTTTTTATTTTTTATTATTCTCGCATTTGAATCGGATTTTGTTGGGTTATCATTGCTGTTCTCACTATCTTGGTCCTCTTCATCTTCAGATACAATCTGACGTTGTGCTTTGAGCAGTTTTTCGAATGGAATCTTTGATAAATCTAAAAATCATGTATGTTCGGTTAATTAAATATTCTATTATAAAAAATTATTCAATGCAATTACATACCACGTTGAATCGATCTCTATACAAGAATGATCAAAATATTTGTTAATAAAATTGTCCTCAAAATAATAGAGTAGATTAATTTGATTTTTTACTATTTTCTCATCCTCATCTTGATCATCATCGACATCTTCCTCGTCATCCTCCTTTTCCTCTTCGTTTCCGTGTTTTTCTTCGCTATCATTATCCTCATCATCATCATCGGAAAAACTATTTAAATCGCTTAGAGACTCATCATTAATGTCATCTAGTAAGGATGATTTGATTTGTGACTGTAAAAAAAAAAATGTTTCAAAAATCTATCAGAAGACACGATAATTCCAATTGACCAATGATATAATTACTTGTTTTATTCCATTATCAAATAAAGAATGATGATTATTCTCTTTTACTAATCTCGCTCTTTGACTCTTCATTATCTATATAATTATCTCATTTATTTGCATTTATTATAATTTATTAAAAATAGATCGACTTTCTACATACATATGTATTTCGTAAATAAATCTACATGCAATAAGCAGATCGAACACCAAAAAATCAAGTGCTATATTAGACCCAAATAAAATGAGCCGGTTATTTACTTTGTAAAATTTTCAACTGGATCGATTTTTTTACATAGACCCTTGCCTTTCATTTTGAACATTACATCATTTCATTTTTTTCTTCTGAACATTGATTTAATATATACTTCCACCCTTACCGTCTTCTCTACGAGTTATCCTCAATAAAAAAATGTCAGCGACAGGACAGAAAGCGCATCGTCGCACATTAAGCATAATTCAAGGGAATACCAACGGTTCGTCCGAGAATCTTATTGCGACGTCGAAGCAACATCCCTCTGTTACACGATCTCAGCACCAGCAACAAAATCAATATCTTCCGCTTATAGACACGAAGTCAAAAACTAGTAATAATAACCATCAGAACGTCAACGGCAACACCGGTATTTTAAATAATATCAAAAATAATACTAGTAATGGCTCAATCAAGAGTATTTCTAATCTCAGTAAAACTTCTTCAACTACCGCCACTAGCAATGATCTTAACAATAACAACGATAGCATTTCATCATCATCATCATCATCAACGCGCAAAGGCAATTATCTTGCCGTTATACCCGAGAAATTGAGTTTTGCTAGCCCTCCCCCAACACCATCAAAACAAAAAACGCACGAATTATTTAGTGGGAAATCAAAAAGTTCTACGACAGATAATTTCAATGTTATTCAGGTTGCAGCGCTTTATAATATCAAAAATGTGTTATTTACCTTAATTTTTTTTGGAGCGTTGGTTGTATTTCTAGGAAGTTTAATGGGAATTGGGCCATTTGACGATGAAGATATTCATTATCATAATAACGCTATGTCGAAGAAACAGCAAGAGCATCTCCAACAGCCACCAACACACTTTACATCTTCACCAATAATTAGCGACCCTGCTGCACATGAAAAAAGTGAGAGTCGTAACACTAAACACGATCAAGAGGGACTACTTAAAGGATCAAATAATGATAATTCACCTGCTGGACAGTCGAACAAAGTTGACGTTAGTAATAGCAATAAAGATCATAACAACAACAATGGTAATGAAATAACCAATGACGAAACAGATAGACAAAATGAGGAAGAATCAGAATTAGATGATGATTTTGATGATTCGTTTGATTTAGAGGAGGATGCGGAAGAAGATGATGATTATGATGAGGATCCTGATGATTTATATACACACGAACACATAATTTAATTTAATGATAGATCTAATAAATATTATAAAAAGTATTATATTGGTAGATAAAATTAATAAACTTTATTATAATGATCATATTAATGCTTTTCTAACAAAATGGAAAATAATATTTTATATTCAATACATTCTTTCATGTATATCTTCGAAGATATTTAATTTAGTAGAATTGAAGCATTTGTTCTTTTAATAGATACACAACTTTCATGACAGAAAATTAAAAAAGTGCATTTTAACAATAACTTTGAGCGCATAGTTCTCAAAGCTCCAAAAAAGAATACAAAAGGATTAAAAAAATAAATTTTCAATAGACAATCGAGTTTGTTAAAAGCCAATAAATGGCTAAAAGACAATTTTTAAAATAAAAATTTTTCTGCCATCCGATGTCGTACTACCATACCAAATAATAAATAATAATCAAACCGTTCAATTAACTCGTGCCTTTTTAACATGACCTTCTTCGTCCATTTCTTCATTCGTAAAGAATTCAGAACTTCGCTTTCGATCAACATTCGCGGATTCGGTAATTAGATTGTTGGCCGAGTCTTCATCTTCTCCGATACCAGTTTTGACCGGATATTCTATGCAATCGTGAGACTGATATTCTTCAAAGTCAGGGAGATCATCTACATCTTCTGTGGATGATGAGTAATATATATGATTATTGATTTCTTCCTCAAGTGGAGGCGTTGAAACGTTGTATATTTCATCATATACTTGATCAGATTCTACACGTGAGGCGGCGACATTTGAATCATCATATTTTTCGCCATTAATTTCCTCCTCGTCAAAGTAAAACGCTTCATCATGATCCAACGGAACTTCCGTTTCTCCTTGATCTTGCTCAGATTCTTCAATATCAGAGTAAGGTGCGAGATCATCATCATCGTCAATATTCGGTAATCCATTGTTTGTCCAGGTATTTTTAGTAATTAGATCGGGGAATGGTACACTGAAATTACCTGCACTATCTGCCGATTCGGTTCGATGCGATTGCGCACTTTCGTTATCTACTGGCTCGATCAGAGGTGATTGAGCATCTTTATTACCTTTGGTTATCGGTGGAGAATTGATATTTATGACATCATCATCATCATCATCATCGTTATTTTCACTAACTTCCTCATTATCGAGAGTTTCTTCCTTGTTTTTACTTTCGTCGGACGTAATTCCAGGATCGGGTTCCTCATTGCCATCGAGAACAATAGGATTATTTGGAAGATTACCTGCACCATTTGCTCTCGTAGCTTCCGGGATGCCACGTCTAATACGCTGGAGTTGCGAAAAGAAACCATCTCTGAGTGTTAGAAGTATGTGAAGATGGTTTGGCGGTATATTTTTCGCTTTCTGGAAATAATAATGCAGATTTAGAATATCATGAAGGTAATGCTGTTGTGCATGATAATTTTCCTGAGATATCGAAATTTGAAAATCCGGGTCATTGGGGTCTCTAAAGGTTAAAACAACTTCCTGAAAACGGGCTTCTTGCGGTACAAAGTCGTTCTTCAAGATCATCATAAAATCTATCAATTTCTCTCGGGTACGAACAATGATTTGGTTCCTAGTGCCAGCGTATTCAAGAATACAACATGCAGAACCGAGACCAAAACCTTGATTTTGATCTTGGTCATTGTCGTTATCAGATTCTTGAGTATCTGGCAGAGGCACTTCGCCTTCTGAAGATATATCGAAATCTTCGTTGCCGCAATCAGCACCGTCATCATCGACGTTGTACGCAAAATTATTAGTATTATTATTTTCTCCTGTTGTTCTTGTTCGTTCACTTTCGACTTCGCCATCTTCAATTGTAACAATCTCTGTATTTTGAATATTATTATCGTTAGTAATCGGTGCTACCACAATAGTAGGAGCTGTAATTGTAGTAGTCGGTGCTCCATTTTCTGGAATATCATCTCGGGCATATTCGGAAGGTGCCGCAGTTGGATTTTCTTGGCTCAAGTCATCATCGACAGGTTGATCCTCATCTTCTTCATCGGCCTCGTCGTTATTTTCTTTTCGCTGCTGTATAGCTGATAACAAACCATCTTCATTTATTATGCTGTCATTAATATCATCGTTATCATTATATTGAGGAACGTTAGTCCGATTTGCTTCAGTATTAGACTCTACAGCAACAAAAAAATTATTTATGTCGTCCAATCCTCTTTCTTCAAGTTCGTTATGAACGTCTAGACCATCTGTACCACTTATTAAAGTATTATCTTCGTTCAACCATCCAAACGTCTCGTCTTCTTCTACTTCGAGATATGTTAGGGAGGGCGGTTGTGCTTGTACACGCTCTTGATTTAGTACTAGTGAAGACATTTTGGTAATCGTCGTTGTATTCCTATAAAAAATAAAAGGTTAATTGTAGTTATTTGAAGGTTTAGTAATCGTCTGTGTGAGAATAATTATTCATAAACCCATACATTACATCCGATTTTTATCATTAAATTCACATGATCAGAACGAACCAATCAAAATTGGATGAACATAAAGTTTTATAAACAGTGGTACTATTCGTATTATTACAGAAGTTTAATAGTTGTCGAGAGAGACTATTGTACAATTGATATTTTGGGGAGAGGTTAGTCCTCTTCGCTATCACTGCTATCACTATCATTTTTCTGTTCTCCAGCGCCACCAGCTACAGCTGCCGATAATCCCTGTTCGCGCATAAGCTTCATTTGACCAGCAATCGAATCTTCATCGGGTTCTGATATTTCATCATCTATTGGATCTTCATGGGGTAGGGCATCAACGCTCGATATTTCAAGCTAAATCGAGGAAAAAATTAGATTAATACGAAAAAAAATTAATTTTCTCGATTCAAAGCAAAATTATTTTTCATACCTTTACTTCTTTTCTAATATCACTGCCAACATAAGAATCGTTTTTTATAAATACCGACAAACTTACAACACCAACAACAGGCGGTGCTTGAAATTGTATTCGCACTGTACGCCCCTCGTTGCTGATGCCCGTAATACGAACAGGATTGTCTATAAGTCGATCCTGTTTTTCATTCGTAATGAAAATATACCAATATGGTCGTCTGTCTAGTGGGAAGTGCGGGGCATGTATCCAATTGTTTTGCATTGTCGGCTTTTTCTTTACGAGTAGTGATTCTACACTGGAGTCATCGCCTGATTCGGTATCAGATGAGTGATAGCCGTTAATTGCAGGCTTATTATTGTTATTTGGGGAGTTCGATATTTTGCCTTTGTCATCACTGCTAGATGTTGGTGGATGAATATTTTTTCCATTTGCTTGTTTTTTAGATTCCATTAATCTAACTTTCAAAATAAATGTGACTATTGATCCTGGAGTTATAATATTATCGCCTGCCACTATAAATAAAAATTACTCGATAAATATTCATGAAAAAAATAGGTTTGCTGTTATTGCTTTCTTTTTTCTGAAGTTTTTACCTTTGAAACGTTTACGAACAATTTCGAGAGCAGGGTAAGCGTCAGCAACATTCTTAACAGATTCATATTCAGTATCAGATAGAGTTCGTAACGAAGCTCTTTTCAATTAAAAAAAGGAACGATAATTAATTTACCATATTTAAAAAAAAGGAAAATTTATTAATAATTTTTACCTTCGATCCTCTTCATTCATTTCTCTCAACTGAACCACACTCTTAATATTCCGTTTTTTACTTTTCATCGCTTTCAAAACCTCGTGATTTATGTATGGTAATTGCACGAGCGGATTTTCACCCGGCCAGATTGCTTGTGTGAGGAGCTGGCGGAGTTCGATGCAATTATTAGTTGTTGTTAGCCAATGATGTGCAAGCGATATATCGAGGATACCGTTGACTAAATGTGCGGCTTTTTCAATAATAAATTCTTGGTCTGATATATATAGAATTGGGGAATGCAAAAGAAATTAAGTGATGCATCTCCGCGCAAAGGGTAAGTAAATAATAATTATTAATAAGATAAAAAATACCTTTTAACAAGTTCGCGTCTGAGATTTTTATTCGTAATAGATATGCGTGCAATAATACATAAGCTTTTTGGCAGTATGGAGCATTATACTTTAAAATTTCGTGTTTTTATGAATATCATAACTTCATTAGTAAAATTCACGCGATACTTGAGTTTTTCGTTATCTTTAACATACCTTTTTACTTTTCTCAAACTTTTCCCCAAATCGTTTATCCAGTTCCTCCTTCACCGATGAAATAACTGGCGACAGAGCGGCCGCATCAGAAGGACGTTGCTCAACTAATTCTAGAAATTCTACAGATGCAGATAAAAGTTCAAGTATATGTTTAACACTGGATTTATCCCGTAGTTCTTTGAAGTAAAGTGCCATCGTGTGAGTTCGTATCTTGTCTTTGGTGTAACCAGTTGAACTGTACCACCAACGCCCCTTTATTGCAAAGTTTAGTTTTTTAGATCGATATAATAAAACTTTCTTTGAAACTACGACATGAAAAGCATAAATAATTACTTACCACAAAGAAAGGTAATAATATTCCAAAGACAATTCCGTATATACCAAGAACAAAGATGTTGTTCTGTGACTCTACCAGCCACGTAGGAAGAGCGATACCCAATGAAAAGGCTGTTTGTATATAATATTTTAAATTACCATTTAATTTTAAATTGTCATATAAATATATATATAAAAAATAAAACGATATCAATTCAAA